CACGCTTCTTCCTGTATCAGACTTAGAGGCGCCCCCTGCTGGTCCTTCAAGGATTGCTGGACATCCTCGGATGGGCTGTGCCGCTGTCGCGAGCTCTGCCATCACCCTGCGCCACCTCACAATTGCCTTGGCAACTTCGCGAATTGCTCACGATTCGACTCGGAAGGCGTTGTGCAAGGGGTTCGCCAGCCAAGGAGCTTTCTTTGGAGCTCCGCTACCCAGTCCTATCCGTGCAGCTCCGTCCTTCTTCCTCCAGAAGCGGGAAGCTTCTCAGCAAGCAAGCATGGCCGTTACAAAGATTAAGGTGGAGAACCCGGTGGTGGAAATGGACGGGTGAGACTGGTGGCGTTCGTTGCCAATTGCTAACTGTTTCTGTTTGGACAGCCAGTATGGTTGTCAATTGGAAGATTGCAATTGTGGTATTATCATATCCTGGCATCCAGAGGAATATTTCCTGTACACTTATCGCATCGGACTATGTACTGTTAGATTCATTAGGATGGCATTGAAGAACATTGCTTTGCAGTCTGCATTGCCACCTTTGGTTGAGCATTAGTGCATGTTGCCACCAGGTCAATATACAAGAAGCAAGTCGGCAATGATGGCCATGGGAATCTGGTGGCGTTTCTGCATGTGCTATCAAAAGAAGAGCACCGATCTGCTCTTAGCTTGGGAACTGCTATAAGGGCGTTAAATGGGGTTGCTGTTAGAGCTGTACCTGCCTTGCAGTTCAGCAATCAGGACAGCAATCAGGTCACACTGGGGATCACCTCATGGACGCTCCTTTGGCACAGATCAATGAGAATAGTTTGGGTCTCCCAACAATCTGCGTCAATTGACCACTGGATTCCTCCAATAATTCTGTACTCAAAACTGTGATGTGGATGGTGTTTCCAACCTTCTGACTCAGGTTGAGTGGCCTTTCTGAGAAGTGTGCAAGTTCAAAATTCCTACTTGAAAGCGCGTACTGTTTTTTGAAAGTTGGAACAGAAAGGCAAGTTTGTTTATATGCGCACTCGATTGTGCAGGGATGAGATGACAAGAATCATCTGGCAGATGATCAAGGACAAGGTAAGTGCTCACAGTCAAGTTGCAGAGTTGTTGGTATCAAAGTATTGTCTGCTGCGCATCCACCTCCATGTCCTTTGTCACTGATTGATTCTGGCTGCTAGTGCGCCTTGTGTCAGAATCGTCAGCATTGTTGGAGCTTCAGACCGTTGAATGTTCTCGTTTTATCGCGCACTTTGCTTTGTCCAGGTTTTGCCTTAGTCCTTGCTTGCATGCCAAAGTTGCAGGCCAACGGGGATTGCAATCAGGTGCTGCCTAACATCTTCAAAGCGAGCCAACAAATCCGACTGTACGCTGTTATGCTGTGTCGTAGCCCTGCGAGCAGCACCACTTGCACCCAAGTTTACGATTCTATATTGAAAGTATGCCGCAGGCTTAGTGAAATGTGATGTTATTGCTGCAGCTCATCTTCCCTTTCCTGGACCTGGACATCAAGTACTTTGACTTGGGAGTTGAGCACCGTGATGCGACGGACGACAAAGTAACCCATGATGCGGCTGAGGCCACCCAGAAGTGAGTGTTACTGTGTTATCAGGAGATTGAGAGAGTTGCACATCGTTTGAGGTTGCTTTAAGATGCGGTCGAATTGTGCTGCTCTCCAGGTCTGTTGGGTTACATCGATGTCAGAACACAGAAGCTAGTCGACTTCACAATGCTTTGTATCAAATATAAGTTGGATTCCTTCACTCATGAGGAGCTTGAGCAAGCACCACAAGTTACTTCTAAAATCCGCTGTGGCTTTTGAATCTCTCCTCGCATCCTGCTTTCACATGCATTTGCGTGCTGCTTGAAAACAATGATTAGCGTCCACTGCTTTGCAGTTTTCAGCATGCACTCTCGTCAACTGTCATCAACCTTCTCACAGGCAGTCAATCACAAATCTACATGGTAGCAAGCCCGATTGATTTGTCAGGCTTGGAAGAAATCATGCTAGGGCCTTTGGTAGAGATTTGAAAAGCTTCAAAGCACTACTCTGGCCGTCAAATCCATAACGGATTTGCCAGATCTTTGACTAGCCTCTGTCGCCAATATGGGTTAAGTGGAGAGCCTCCGTGTTCTTTCAGGTACAATGTGGCGATCAAGTGCGCCACCATCACCCCCGACGAGGGCCGCGTTAAGGAGTTCAAGCTGAAGCAGATGTGGAGGAGCCCCAACGGAACCATCAGGAACATCCTGAACGGAACGGGTAGGTTCCAGAGATTCGAACAAACTCTGTCGCAGCCTGGTCAAAAGTTACCTGGTCATGTTTTATCACATCGTCCTTGGTCGGTGGCAGCCAAGGTCAGCCAAGATTGGGCCTCGTCCTCTTTGAAGCTTATGCTTTGGAATGGCTCGCCGGTTGTGAGGTGTTGCCAAGCAGTTAACTCGAGTTTCCTACCGCTTCTAATGTATATTGCTCGCTGTTTGTCTTTGAAGATAAGGAAACTTCGTCTGCTTACTAGTGCTGAAGTCTGATATCCAGGGTCACCATTTGTGTGTGCAGTCTTCCGTGAGCCCATCATCTGTAAGAACGTGCCACGGCTCATCCCTGGTGAGTGCAGTCCTTAGAGCTTGCAATACTCCGGTGCTCGATTTGCTTGGAACAATACTGTCGAGGGTCCAGCCTAAACGAAAGCCCTCATGGCTTTGGAAGCAAAGAGACTTGCAGTTGGATGTTTTGTCTGCGACCTGGGGACTAATTCTTGGTGCTTGGACTAGGTCGGTCAACGGGAATAACAGCCCAAATGCACAAAACAATCTACGCCTTTTCGCAGCACGTTGTCCGAAAGACTCCGATTGAAGTAATGCAACGGCTCACGGGCCATGTCTTAAATCTTGAAAGAAGTTCCTTCATTTCCCCTTGTTGTGATGATGAGGTGGCACTTTGTGCTGCAGGGTGGAAGACGCCCATCTGCATTGGCAGGCACGCGTTTGGTGACCAGTACCGCGCCACCGACTACGTCGCCAAGGGGGCGGGGAAGCTGAAGCTCGTGTTTGGTATGTTCTCCAACTTATGAGATGGATATCTCAAACTTCTGGTTTGACGATTCGATTGTCAGGGCTTTCCCTAAGACGCAGCGGTTGAGGAGGCAAGGCTAGAAGTGTGAAGGCTTACCTGAGCTGAGGTTTTTCTTGCAAACTAAAAGCGTGCAGAACGGTGGGCCACTTAAATGTCCAGAAGCTTCGTGTTCCACTTTCGAGACTAGGGATTCCTGCAATTCCCCTTCTAATGACGATTTCAGAGCGGGGGGCCCGGACTGCCTTCAAACGCGGTGTAAGCAGCTCGGCAAAAGGACGGAGGCGACTAACTGATACCTCCCTTAGCGGGCAGCCTCGCGGCAGCCAGACGGCTCGTCTGCAGCAAACTCGTAGCCGGAGTGCCTGCGCATCTGTTTTAAAACTCTTACATCTATGTATGGTCGCCTCCTCACACCGTTGGTTGTTGCAGAGCCCGAGAACGGGGAGGCTCCCACCACGATGGAGGTGTACGACTTCAAGTCGGACGGAGGCGTTGCGCTCGCCATGTACAACACGGATGACGTAAGTGGCGCTCCCGAAGCTTACAAAAGGCCGTATTTCTGACGTGGACGCAATGAAAAGTCGTGTCTTTTCCAAGGCGTTTCGTTGAGGAAACCGTGAGCGGCAGCCGGTCTCTCGAAGCAGCAGTCTGGAAAGCAGCTTCGGGCAGGAGCAGAAAGTCGAGCAGATGGCGGCACAGCCATCTTTTGCAGACCTATTAGTTGAAGTGAAATAACGACCGTTGATCCGCCTGGAATCCAGTCCAATCACACCAGATCTCCGTTGAGAGAGTCTCCTCCGTTGATGCCCGCCCTAGATTTTGGCCATCTCTCCGATTGCTGCCACTGTCCGTGCAGTCCATCCGCGCGTTTGCCAAGTCGTCCTTCACGGTGGCCTACTCCAAGAAGTGGCCCCTGTACATGAGCACCAAGAACACCATCCTCAAGAAGTACGACGGCAGGTGAGCCGTCACATCAGATGCTTTTCTCGCGCTTGGGATGCTCTTCTCGGGTCCGTTAAATGCAGGGTCAACATGTTGCAGCGCCAGTCTGCGATGCAATGGTTGCGAATTCTAGAAAATTCGTTTATATATTGGACTCCTGGCCTTTCTGATACGTATCGAACACCCCGTCGAAAACAACTTGTTGTCCCTCCGTTCAAGGGGTCCAAGCTTTGAGGACGTGATATGAGAAAGCTGCAGTCCTCCACTATGAGGGTGATCTCAAAAAGACCTGAGAATCTGATATTAGTCCTACAAAACGCAGCGTAGAATCTTCGGCCACGTGGGTTCTCAAGGCGATTTTGGAGGGATTTGGAGATTGCGCACAAATTTGGTTTTCCGTCGCTTGTGGCCATGATTTTATTTTTTCTTTCAGCATACTTGCTAGCGTTCAAAGTCGAGCTGGGGTGGTGTTCGCCGGTTTCAAAAGCCCTCATCTGTTATGTGTGCCAGGTTCAAGGACCTGTTCGAGGAGGAGTACGAGAAGAACTGGAAGGACAAGTTTGAGGCCGCCGGCATCTGGTAAGGCGTGCAACCCGTTCTATGCACGCGCTTGTCATTTTGAGCACGGCTCCTAAGAATTTGCACCAAGCTCGGTCCTTCGTGCAGTATCCTGCCTTTCGTAAGCCCTGTCCAGGACGATTTAGAGCTCTGGGGGGATTTGTTTGCTCGCTTCGAAACTGAATTGGATGAGAACACCGGGTCTGTACCTCTTACTTTTGACCAATCTAAAGCTCGACCAACAATCGTGAATTGAGGGATCCTCGCTGTGAGAAGATGGGCGGCGATCCCACCTTGCATACTGAGCAGTCGAGGTTTCCTAGAAACGACCGTTTATGACATGCTGCACTTGTGTCGGAGGGCTTTGATCTTCGTCCGATGGTGTCATCTCTGGTGCACAACCACACTAAAACTTGTCGCCAGTAGTTGGTGGTTTTGGTGCCTGAGTAAAGGCACGAACTGCACCTCTCGTTCTTGTATCAGTCGCTGACGTCCTTCTTACCACTTGCTGACGTCAGCCCTGGCTGCGCAGGTACGAGCACCGGCTGATCGACGACATGGTGGCGCAGTGCATCAAGAACGACGGCGGCTACGTGTGGGCGTGCAAGAACTACGACGGGGACGTGCAGTCCGACATGCTCGCGCAGGGCTTCGGCTCGCTCGGCCTCATGACCTCTGTCCTGGTGAGTGCTTATTACCAACTTTTTGTAATCATTGCTTTACGATATGTCCAATTATCTGCTTTGTCACCCATGCGCCGGCCGCTTCTCCTTGTAGCCGACATGCTCGTGGAGGGTTTTGGCTCGCTCGGCCTCATGACCTCCGTCCTGGTGTGAGCAATTCCTTCAGTTATCTCTCGTTTGGGTCCATTTTGGCTTTCCTTATCTTGGTTCTGGTCTTTGGTTACGTGCGCGCCGGCAACTTTCAACGGTGTGCGACGTGCTGGCACATAGTTTCGGCTTATGAACTCCGTCCTGGTGAGGGCCGTTTTCCGATCGTTTCGATTCCTCTTCACGTTTACTTTCTTATGATTTCTTCCTTGCAATTTGACAAGCTCGCGCAGGAGTTCGGCTCGCTCGCCCTCGTGACGTCCGTCTTGGTATGTGCAAACTTTTTGGGGCTCGTCTGTCGTCTTTCGCTTGCTTGGAAGGTGATTGCAGAGAGCGGTTTTGTAAGTAAGGAGGAACGATTTCAGGCTCCTCATCCTTTTGAACGTCGTTTCTGTAAACCCACAATATTGGCCCTTCAAATGCTTTCTACAGTCGTCTCAGTCTGATGGCCTCCGTCCTGGTGAACCCGCAAGAGTCCAGCCCCCCTGAAGGCCCCTCATCCCTCCGATCTGGACGCAACGAACGTTTGGACGCACACGCCGGACGTCCGGCTGCATTGCTGACCCGTCCGCTCTTTTGCAGGTCTGCCCCGACGGCAAGACGATTGAGGCGGAGGCCGCGCACGGGACTGTGACGCGCCACTTCCGCGTGCACCAGAAGGGCGGCGAGACCAGCACCAACAGCATCGCGTCCATCTTCGCATGGACTCGGGGACTCTCCCACAGGTAGGGGCTCGTCTCTTCTCTGTATGAGGAGAATATGTGTGCATGTTCACGCGTATGAGTCGGTGAGTAATGAGGCTCGTGCAAGCTGGCGAGAATGTGCAAAAGCACAACCTACTGGGTTGGATTTCGTACTTCTCTGCTGATTGCAAAGGCAGACAATCCGCATCTCTGCGGGTACCGTCCAGATTTTATGGTGCATTTTAAGCCTTTAATTTTTGCACTCGATATCCCAACCAGAGTAAGACGCTGGGTCTCCGTCTGTGCGCTTGCTGTGGCCCCACCTCCGATTTCGCACTCCTTGGATACGATAAGACGAGTTTGCTCGATCCGTCTCACACACCGTCTTCCTACGAGATGCGATCCAGATTCTGTGGTGCGGATCTGGTGATAGTTCATCAGTTTGCGGTCCCACGTGATGACCGAGATTTTGACAGCGGCATACTCGGGCGTGATCAACCTTTTTAGAAGACTCTTCTGCTTGTTGGCCGTTTAATCGAAGGTGCACTCGTAAGCGCAGAGCCACTGCGTCCATTGGCGAGCGTCGGATCCTGTTCACTCGCAAGGCGGATGCAAACGCATGTGTATTTATCCTTCCCGTTGAGAATCAAAATGTGTCGCACTTTCTTTCCAGGGGCAAGCTGGACAACAACTCGGCTCTGGTGGAATGGGCGGAGAAGCTGGAGACGGCGTGCATCGGCACTGTCGAGGACGGCAAGATGACGAAGGACCTCGCGCTGCTCATCCACGGGCCCAAGTAAGCCGCGCCAGCTTTCGTTGAGCCGTATCGCTGTTGGGCAATGGCTTCCAAGCTTTCTTGTTCCCCGTGAGGGAACAAGAAAAACTGTGAACGAGTTTTTGTTGCTGAGACGTCAATCATTGGTTTGCGGAACCGAAAAACTGACTCTTCTCTGAAGTGCTCTGGAGATGAAAGCTGCTCTTAGACGTCACGTTCAACTTGGATTGCCCAGTTCCAGATAGACGATCTGGTGATTTTACCATGGGCGTGGATGTGAGTCTTTCTTGAGCATAAGGACACCAGAACTGATCAGATTGGGAGAGCCATCGGGCAGCCATTGGGGCAGCCATTGGACGGAATTGAAAAAACTAGTCGATCTGGCGGGAAGGAATTGCAACGCAGAGCGGCCCCAAATGAAAGAAGCTTTCGCGGGGTTACGTCCCAACGAATCACCGGCGTGGCTTGCTCTGGGTCGTTCTAGACGCTAGTACGAGCATCCTTTGATGCGGGGTAGCTGTACCTGCTGAGGAGCGTTCGGAAATGGTCGAGAATGTTTTAACGATGTCCTTGAAACAGTTGACGGGGCTATGAGGCGCCAGGATTGTGGAGCTGGGTCAATCATTTGGCTATGCGTTGTCCTTTATTCAACAGACTGCATTCGCATTTTACTGTCTCTACTGCTTCAAAGGAGGGACCCGTCCAAGGGTTTGGGAGTTAAACGTGTGCTTCTCCTTGCAGGATCTCCCGCGAGCAGTATCTGAACACCGAGGAGTTTATCGATGCTGTGGCAGCCAAGCTGGAGAAGAGTCTCCAATGACTATCTTCGAGATTGTAGACGATGTCGCGTGCGCGCTCACTCAGATTCGAAGGGCTATACTATGATTCGTGGAAAAGACGTTTGTTCTTCTGTACCGTACGGTAGACTTTGTAGCAGTGCTGTCTTTCGAATCTGATACTGACTGTCAATGGCGGGCTGCAAAGTCGAGGACGTTCGCTGGAGGCACGTGTAAGGAGTTGGCTGCACATAAGTTTTGAAGGCGCAGACTATCCATGTAGAAGCTTAACGTTGCAGTATGTATTATGTGGATGAGACGATTGCAGTTAAAGCTTACTGTAGAGGGTTGTCTTGTATTGGGCGCATGTATTCGTGTCCGGCCATGCATCATTGGCCTGGCATGGATGATTGCATTGAACAGTGTTACTCCGATTGCAATAGCGTGCGACTTTGCAACATGGGAGTCTGGTCGAAACCTGTTCTTCATTGTTGAAGTACGAGCTGTCGAGCTCTTACATCAAGTGCATGCCGATGCTGGCGCAGTAGCATACCACTAAATAATTCGCACCAGGCGCAGCATGGATATGGCCGGGATTATTTTCGCCTGATGATCGGATTTGCCCATGCGAACGCGGCAGGCAACTTACCGGCAGAGCTCTATAGCTACTTGTTTCTCGCATGGTGCATATATCTAATCCTATCAATGCGCGCCAAACTATCTATCTCTGTGCTCAATTGTAATCAGGCGATCGGACGTCCATTTAGTTGACGATCGGTGTCCTGCAGAATCCACGTTTAATCGTCCTGCTGAAACTTTCATATATACTATAAAGGTGCCTGGCTGCCGCGGGATGTCCGGTCCTGACCTTTTAATTGCATGATTACCTCTGGTACAAACAGGCTCTACGCTCAGATTCCCTAACGTTTATCAAACATGTACTGTACTGCGACTCGATCGCCGGAGATCCTTAATAGATTGCAATGTTGCCGAGTTACCTGCATCCTGAGTAGCTGAATATGCTACCCCACCTTGACGAATTTTTGCGCACTTAGCATTTGCTTTCATCGTATCTCTATGTTACTTGACTTTACAAACAAGCTTGTGCGAGTGGAAGTCTGCTTTTTGGCAATCTTTTGAGCAGTACCGTGCTCGCTTGCAGCCAGCGCACACCATGAGCCTCACTCCGGACTCCCTCTCCACAATGCACCCTTCTCGCGAACACCTCTGCATGAACAAATCCAGATCCGTTCAGCGGCTTCTGCAACTCAACTGATGAAAGTACTCTGGTTCCGATCACATGCTTCGGGCAGAAACTTTGCAATTTTCAATCAGAGGTTCAATTGTAGTGAATGCGGGGTTGATTTGTTCGAGGAGCTTCCCACATTCACTCCCATTTGGCGGTTCAAAGGAATTGGCATCCCTCCGGCTGTTGCACAGGAGTCCGGGTTTTCGATATCGTCATGCTATGTGTCAAATCATGTGTCAAGGATTCGTCGAAAAACGCCCGTGCAATCGGCTCACAGTGCTGAGCCTCTTCAACATGTGCGGTTACTCTGAATTGCTCGTCTCTACCGCACGGGCAGAGGAGCCCGCAGAAATGTTGGGATGCTCCACGCACCAAGGATACTCAAATTTCGAAAAGGAGAGATCTGATTCAATATCCGGCTCCTAGTTGCCAGGTCATAGAATGGGGGATCAAGGAAGCGACCCTTACCACCCTTCGTCTGTCAGCCTTCCGCTGCAGAGCTTCCTTTTCCGATTTGCTGCCCGGCGGAAAGGTCGTGGTGGCACTGACTTCTTCAGCAGGAACGCTTTTCGCACCTGCGAAACGAATATATTATAAGAACACACGATATAATCAAGGAGCGGCGGGTAACTCTGAGTACAGCTACTCACTGAAACCTGGATCATTGCTGATTCAGACTGCACACGACTTGATTCAGCTGAGCTCTGCTTGATTATAGCATAATTCCGAGCCCGGACATTCAACGGTTGAGAAAATGAGTCCGCACTGCCAAGTAACGTTCGGCAAAAGCGTTCGTCACAATGATTGCACTTTTGTTACACGAAACGTCGTGTTGCAGGTGATAGGATCACGGAAATCTTCAGACTCGGTTGCAAGTTGACTAGGAAGCGTTCGAAAGTTCTAAGCGTTTGCTCGAAACCGCCTCAACCATGAGCTCGCCACTCTATCGTTCTCGTTGTGGTCCGAGGCACTCGCGTACGTGCTTCGAACCTACATTTAAAAACCCAGAAGCAAAGCTTTTGGGCGAAGGGATCTTCCTCTTGTCTCCCTCAATCACCTTGACGTCCCTCACCAGGTTTCGGCCGATTGATCTCCTTTGGTAGCACTGCGCATTTTACCGACATTGCCACGACGAACCAAACTGCTCATCGTCAGCGTCCAACATTAGTGACGCAAGCACCCTGTCTTCCGGTTTTCTCGGTCACGGCTCACCTTCGTGCATGACTTCGTCTTCCGCACAATCGCCATCCGTCTTCTTCTCTTCATCGACCGTGCTCTTCCCTTGCGTCTTGCTTGACCGCTGCCGTCTCGTTCCGTTCTTCTGCTCTTCCGTTCCGGCGCTTTTCGCTGGAGGCTCTTGCTCGACGGAACACAGCTCTTCGTAAAGCTGGCTGCCGATCCGCGTCCCCCACCCCTTGCCAAACAAGTCGCTGTCGATGGCTCGAAGCTCGATCAGGATCCCGTGAGCGGCCGCCTTCAACGCTGACGATTTGCTGATGGCTGCATGCACTCTGCACGAGGAAGTCTTACGTTTGACAACAGGACTCGAAGACAAGTGAAGGCGAAGTTTACTGTGTTGGCCGCACTTCATGACAAAAATCCATGGCTGTCAACCAGGAGTCCTCTCGAAGGTCGATGACATATCTTATGTGCGACCACTTTCAGAGCGGGCGATCTGCTGGCTATCGCATGCACCCTGCACAAGGAAGTCTTAGTGTTGACAATAGGATTCAAATCGAAGCAAATGCGAATTGTTCTGCTGTTGTCCGTGAACTAGGACCGTGAAGCAGGCACCCCCTCGAAAAACGAAGAGAATCTCGTAAGCGAACGTCTTCAGAGCGGGAGTGCCCCCCGCAAAAGGGGTGGTGAGGGTCTACAGGACGACAGCACAGGCCGGAACTTGCTTGGGAAGTCAAGTTTGAATGTAAGGCGGATTCGGAGAAAGCCAACTGTCAGCCAAGGCCACATGTCAAACAAAAAGCAAATATTGTGAGTCGGGCAGCTTAAGCTTCGTCGAAGACTGGGGAGAGAGGTCTCAGATTGGGTGAATCTGCTCTTGTCGAAGACCAAGCGAATCTTCTTTAAAAGGCATATTCAACAAGCAGGTAAAGATGCGACATCCCAACGATGACAGTTATCGCACCAGAACGTTTCAACCCTGTTCTTCTTCCAACGACACCTCGTCATCAGGCACCATTGATCTTTTACCAAAATAACAAGTTCCAGAAATATGGCGGTTATCCCAGAGATATGTCGATTATCCTATGTACGCTCCAGGCAGCCTCACATTAGCACGGCAACAACAGGAGAGTGACGTTGAGAGTGCCCTTACGCCGGGTTCTCGAACAGCCGGTAGACGCACAGCGCCGCCTCTAGGTGTCCGCTCCGCATCCTGTCTGCCGGCAAATACTGCAGAATTTTCCTCACGGCTTGCAGCGCGCCTTGCTCTAACAACCACGCATGGTTGGCGGCTTCTGAGCTCAGAGCGCTAATTAGGCGCAGTGCGGCCGTAAGCAAACGGTACCACACCCCTTCCGTGAATTGCTCAACCACTTTCCATTGGGCCTTTCCGGGGTGGAACAAGTCGGATAGGCGGCCCGTCAAACGGAACGAAGCGCACGCTAGTCTTAATCTCTGTGACGCCGACCAAGGAACGTAGTAAGCGCGGACGTGAATAGCTGGGCATGGGGCGTCCCTGGAGGAGTTGCTAGCTGGGTTGCTACTGAGACTTGAAGCTCTGTGTTTCTTGCGCGCAGTGCTGAGCTCTGATCGCTGGTAGCCGAGATCGGTCGAGTTGAAATGCGGCTTGAAGTTCAGCGCTTCTTCTTCTGCGTATCGCCGGCAGGAGTGCCCCAGCGAAACGGTCGGCTTCACGAGACCCGCGATGATGGAGAAGAGGCGCTCGCCCTTGAGGAAAGAGCCGATACCTGCAACACGGATGACGAAGCTATTACAGATGTCAAAAGCTCAGGGTTTCGAGCTTTTAGGGTTTCCTTCGTAGGACCTTGCAGTCTCGGAAGACACTCAACACCCTACAAAAAGAACGAGAGAATGATCACCTACTTCTATTCCGCCAGTCGGCGTCAGTAACCTCGCGATAGCGGTGCAACAATTCATGCCCACTGTTATGGAACGGTAGATCTCTGGGACTCTGGACTTTTTGTGAGCATACTTACCCAAAGTGTCATCGGAACAACCAATCTCTCCCCTCTAGAAGCGCGGTCGACTGTCCATTGCGCTGGGTACAGATGAACCACTGAATCATTTCGAGGATGCTTCTCGCTTTGATTCTGTGAGAAGGCCCTTGGACGAAAAAGTCCCAAGAAGGAGAGGATGGGTTTCTTCGAGACCCGTCACGCTGATCCAGTTTGCACAGCACGTCCAGAAGGAAGCTAAGAGGCTGCCAAAGTTGACCAAGGGTTCCAAAAACCCCCGGCTTGAAATGGGAATCTAATTGCGACCCGAGAAAAGTCTTTCGTTACAGTGATGAGTAAGCCTTGACCGTGAAGCCCCCTTTGTGTCTTCTTTAAAGGATGCTTAATGACGTGCTCCACGCATGAGTCGCCAGCAACAACCCAGCTTTGGGCGTCTTTAAATGACCAACAGCTGTAGACTCAAGTCAAGAACGTTCGCAGTTCGCACAAGGGCAGCCTAATCACCAGCAAAGCGTACCTGGGTGGCTTAACGCCAGGTTCGCCAGGCCCGTAAGTCCTATTTCCAGACTGTGAACGTAGTCGATGCTCTGATCTTCCTCTAAAGTGACCCGGCACATGCGCACAAGCTCAGTCGCCAGAAAGAGCTGATCCCCGGGCACTAGAGCGAGGCTTTTCAGGTAGGTCAGTTGTGCCAACGCCTCGAGCGCGTCTTCCTTGCGAATGCCGCTGACCGAATCGCTGTGCACGCACGCCGCTATGAGTGCGGCACTCAGCGGCCGCTTCTGAGCGTCTTTGACGGTCTTCGCTGCGCAGATGAAATCCAGGTCTTCGGTGTCTACGGTGTTGTCATCGAAGCTTGGAGCGATCTTGAGGTTGTCGGCACGGACGTAACTGCAAAAAGATGGAAGGTGGATCGGCAAACATGTACCTTCGAGACAAGTAAGCAGGTTACCATCTCTTGTGGTCAGCTTGACCAAGATTACTGGTCTCGTCGCAAACCTTTCCAAAGGGTACAACCACTCTTCTACCCAAAAACGAACTCTTTCTGCTGCTATCCGGTATGCCTGTCTCAATTCTGTACTCACCTGTCTAGTTGGTGATCAGCAGCTTTGTTCCTCTCCTCGCTCACTCTGCGTGCAATCCATGTGCACGCCTTCTCGCTCTTGGAGCCTCCAGCAGACAGGGCACGGACAACCCACGACATCTCCAGAGTCAGTCGCAACCAGGTGAAGTAACTCCAGATTTTCATACAGAAGTGTTGTAACCGCCTGCATCATCAGGATACAAGGGTCGATCCCAGTCTGCTCTTTTCTGGCAGCAATGTTTTCAGTGCAGTCAACTGGCGAAGGGGTTCTATCCAACATCCAAATTTCTTGATTCGCACCATTTACACCTGGGTGAAAGCTTCAGATTGAGTCTATGGATTTCGTTTAGTTCTTGAAGGACGGCCAATCAACAAAAAAGGACAACACGCAGAGTGCTGCTCAAAGAAGAAAAGTTGCAAGTCGGCAGATGCAATGCCTTAGCGAAGACCAGGGACTCTGAATAGAGGCCAACCAAGCCAAACGGTAGACTTCAATCTTCCTGTTCTGCAACACGCACTCACATATGCGCCGAGATGCTCTGCTGCATTTTATAAAAGTGACCAAAAACTGTTTCAGCATTGAAAGCAATGGCTCCTCACCTGTCTGCCCATTCAATCCCCGTGCGCAGACGTCCTTGAGACACCCACTGAACCAGCAACGGCAGGCAACAGTAGAGCACGTTGAGCGCAGCAAGCTTCCATGACTGCTTCCCCGCCAAGCTGGGATAGACCTCTGAATGTAGCAGCAAAGTACCCAGGGAGGCTGGACACGGAAAGGTCTGCATCAATCCCGTCCAGGTCAGCAAGAACTGCAAGGAGTCTCGCACATATCGACGATAAAGAGTACTCACTATCGATCCTGCTACGCGCGCGCATGTCTTTTCAAATTTGGCTGCTGAGAGGAAAAGAAAGAGTGCTAGGTGTAGCGACCATGGTGTGCGAGACAGGTAGGACTGGAAGCAGGGCTCTGACATGCATATGGATACTAATCCACAGATAGACATTCTTGTGAATGTGAAAACCTAGACTGTACAGCACCATGTAAGTAATTAACAATGTTGGCAGTGACAATATTCCACGTCCAATTAAGGTTGCGGCCCGGAAAAGGTCAGTCGATGCCCAGAACGCAAGCCAGCTAAGCAGCTTCCACTCCATTGCTTGCACCCTCTGCGTCCTTCTCGCCCTCTGTTCTATCTGGATTTCGACTTATGTGATAGCTTTTTTGAATGGCCCCCTCTGTGCTTCTCTCTTTGTCGCCTGCACGCTGCTGCAGCCCAATGTGCCGTCACATTGGGCTGGTGTGAGCCCTACCATTTTGAGCAGATGATCGTTCAACGACGGTCAGCTCAGGTGGCCTGGCAAGGCAGTCGTTTCACTTAACTTTCAGCCGTCCAAAGATCATCGGACGGAGTACCGCCAGCTGGAGAGTAGAGGCTGTGGTTTGAGGGGTCCCCCGAAGGAATCTTACGTTAGCCGCAAGCCGTTAGATAAGCCCGTCTGGTTATCGGACGCTCCCTTGAAGCTCTCGCATGGGGTGTGAATATGCCCGCGACATGCAAGCCTGCAAGACCCATCTGGCATCTGGAAAAGCGCGCTGAAGTCGTTTATAAGGGTAAGGTCATTTTGTAGTG